TTGATAGCACCTATAGTGGAAATAGTCGACAAACATATAACAATAAAAATGATAATTATGATAGTGAAATTAAATAGGAATCAAGTAGAAAACAAGAAAATACAATAGACACTTACCCTCATGCTAATACTCTAACACAAATACAATCTAACGACGAATCAAATCAAGCACCATTTGTAAAATATTTTTTGTGAGAATTAGACAACAAACAAAATGATTTAAATATTTATTTTTATAGTCCTTGAATTTAACAGCATCACTTTGTGTACGAACAAAAGAATTAGATATTGAGAAGAAGCTTGTATATGCTCGTTCATTAACTGAACAGCAAGAAAATTCAATAAAAAATTTCATTCATCATTCTACTCTAAAAACCCTTGAATGAGAAATATTATTCTTTTTAACAAGTTCATAATACAAACAAATGCAAAATTTGTAAGTCTCATGTTAACATAATTCATTTCGGTACTTTCGAAAATTACGGAGATGAGCACCGCTCTCAACTCTCTTTGAAATGAAAAAGAAGGTAAATTTTAGTAAAAAAAACCTAATGTAAGGTGCACGTAATGCAAAAGTCGAGCAGAAAACAAAACTAAATGAATTATACATCAGTTGATAGAGCTTTTCCCGCTGATTCAGAATATATATTTTCAAAATTTGCAGACCTCACCTGAGCCGAGAAAATTGCAAAATACTAAGGATTTCAGAAAACCCAAAAAAGCTGGACTTTTCCCATTAATCTGAGAGATAGACCAGTAGGAAATAAATAAGAAAAGAAAAATGAGATAACTGCTGTAAATAACATCTTATTCAATATTTATTTCAAACAGAAATAAAAAAAAGAGAGGGGAGATTCGAGCTTTCGTGTCCTTGTTTGAGGGTGTGGGTGTGGCTGTGGCTGTGGCTGTGGCTGAGGGTGGGTGTGGGTGTGGGTGTGGGTGTACGCTTAAGCAGGTGATGGTGTGGGTGGGCGTTTGACCAGGTGATGGTGTTTATGCTGTTGATACCCACATCCACACCCTTCTTTACTTACCCTCCTGATTGTTGAGAATTTTTCGCAAGCGACATAATGAGAAAACACACTTTCCTTTTTTCCATTCATTTAGCTATTCAGAGTATTCTCCGCTGCTTTCTGAGAACAAACTAAAATTTTAGTTTTGTTTGAGTTTCTGTTTCTTCATTTAGCTATCTTAGCGGTGATCGCATGCTTCCTGAGACAAACCGAATAAGTTAGCCGAGTTTGCTTTATTTGCATTTACTATGTCCGCACTTGCCCAGTTCTTCTGAGAGAAATAGAGAAATCTAGGTTAGTTTTCTTTTTTCTTCTTTCATCTACTTATTCTGATAGTTATTAGGAAATTTTTACAGAAGCGATAGAATGAGAAACCATATTTTCCTTGTTTTTTTTTCGTTTAGCTATCTCGAATAATGTCCTTCATTTTGTGAGAAAAGCCTAAAAGGTTAGTTTCGTTAATTTTCTCTTTCTTCATTTAGTTATCCAGAGAGTGATCGCGCATTTTATCGGAAAAACAGAATTAGTGTGTTTAGTTTGCTTTTTTTCGTTTATTTGCATTAATACTTTGCTGCTTCTTACCAGAGAAACGGAGAAAGCTACTTTAGTTTACATTTTTTTCATCTACTTCTCCCCATTCTTGCCGAGAGATTTTCACAGAAGCGATAGAGTGAGAAAGCATGGTTTCATTTTTTCTCTTCATTTAATTATTCCCAGTATTCTTCTTCATTTTCTGAGAAAAAGCCTTTTAGGCTAGTTTCGTTAATTTTCTCTTTCTTGATTTAGTTATCCTGATAGTAATCGTGCATTTTATGAAAAAAGATCGAATAACTGAGTCTACTGTCCTTTACCCACACCCACACTCACCCACATCCTGATTTATAATTATGGTAGTAGAAATTTAATTATTTAGGATATGTTTTTATTGTTGTATATAGTTAGTCGTTGGTTTTAAATAAACAGGAGAATTAATTTTCAATATGGTTTTATTTTTTAATTTAATTTGCGAAATAACTATTAGAAGTATAGAATGATAATATTAAAAGTGTGTCTGCCATCGTTATTTTACTTATGAGGATGAGAGAGTCACTCTCAAAGATATTATTCAAAGCTGATATCTAACTAATCTCACAAAAAGATGTTACACTTGTTAGAGTAGCCAATTTATTAATACTATTCCTCGATACAAAAAAAAATGCAAAAAAATTTCGTTTGTAAGATTGCTGTTATTTTCAAACAAAGTGTGAGTAGTTGTGAGTGATGAATGTAAAGGAGAATGGTTGATACGCATGAAACCTCTATTTCACATAAAAGAAAAGAAAAACTTTTTGCTTTGTGAATATAATCTATGCGTTTCATCAGTGAAGCCGTATATATATATATATTCGGTAGAACTCATAAATAAAAGCAAATTGAATTTCAGTATTGTTGAGAAAGACGTTATAATTATAAAATGATACATCAGAGAAAACCAAGTATTGTAACAATTTCGCATCTTCGTCGTCATCGTTCATTGAATAAAAAAGTGAGCATTTCCTTTTATCGTTTATGATTTTTTTTTAATAAATTGATTTTAGCATAAACATTCATCCATTAAAAGACGACAATCAAATACTATCATCCATGTAACTCTCGGTTTATCGAGAGATATTTGTTTAACAAATACTAAAAATAATTTACGTGAACAACTTTCAGCTAGGATAGACAATCATCAGTATCAAGAAAAATAAATAAAATCAACAATTATTCAAAATCCAACACAATATGAAAAAGGATCCACACATTTTACTAACGGTATTAAAATTTATCGATGTTACCGTTCTCTTTCACAAGTAAGAAATCTCTTCAGGAAATTAAGTATATTTTCAATTACTAGATCAAGAAAAGTGCTACTGAACAAAGCAATCGTTACCACAACTTAATAGTTCAACGGAAACTGAAACTGATCAAGATTCCAAAATTAGTACAAGTACAAAAATTAAGAGTCATTTATTACGAACTTTCAGAGTGTCTCCTCGTGAGGTGGTGTATCATCTTTCTTGTCAAAAATATATATTACACAAACCTATACAATAAATGTTTTTTAGAATGTTATTATTGATCATACCTTGTTAGATCAAAAAGGTATGACGGAAGATTATCATCGAAAGCATAAAACAAACAAAAAGACAAAGTTAGTATTGTGTTACTAGATTATAACTATCAAAATAAATCTATTTTTATATTAGATGTTCACGTCGATGCGTCATTTTATCTTTACTTGCGACTCTATTTGTTTTAATCATTACTGCTATTCTACTCATTCTTTTGATTAAGCCTAAATTAGGAACAACAAGAAGTAAGATTAGTTCACTCTTTTCATCTGAATTATGAGAAATACATCTTGTTTTATTATTTGGAGCTGATATGCCTGTACTTCGTTGGAATTCGACAGGTATTACTGTTGCCGGCATTACTAATAATTCTGGTAACGCAGATAATCAACTTAATTTTCCTACAGATGTAAAATTGGATTATGAACATAATCTCTATATTGTTGATTCCAACAATCATAGAATTCAAAAATATTTATTTGGTGCTTTAACTGGTCAGACAGTAGCTGGAAATGGAACATCTGGCTCATCTCAGTATCAACTGTCTTATCCATTAACGATGATGATTGATTCGAATGAAAATCTTTATATATCAGATACATCTAATGCACGGGTTCAATACTGGCCTAAGGGTGCTGTTTCGGGGACAACAATTGCTGATACAACAGGTAAGACAAAGATAATAATATTAGGTTGGCAACAAAGTTCTTGCGTTTTTTTTGAAAATGTTCTAAAACATTCGAGAAAGTTCTAGAACTTTCCATACTAAGGGTATATAAAGCGAGTGTGAATATCTTTCGAATTATAATAAAGTCATCGATATGGACGCTGATCATGAACTGAAAATGAATCTTTCTCGTAGAGAGATTCGAGTGCTTTTACTTCATGAATTCCGTCTGGGTCACAAAGCAACCGAAGCAGCCAACAACATATGCAGCACGATGGGCGAGGATGTACTCTCTATTCGTACGGCACAACAATGGTTCAATCGCTTTAAGAACGGTAACTTAGAACTCGACGATTTACCTCGATCCGGTAGACCACTGGAAGTGGATGTGGATCTTTTAAAGCAGCTTATCGAACAAGATCCTCGGTTGACTTCACGGTGTTTAGCAGAGCAGCTTGGGTGCTCTCATACTGCGGTAGAAAAACATCTGAACGAATTAGGCAAAACATGGAGATATGGAGTTTGGATACCCCATGAGTAATCACCACATCAACTTCAACACAGGGTTGATGCTTGTATGGATTTAATGGCATCTCACCGCAGCTAGCAATGGCTCCGCAAACTTATCACCGGTAATGAGAAGTGGGTGTTGTATATTAACTACCCAAGCAGACAAGAATTTGGAAAAACGCGTTTAAACCCTACAATCGGGAACCGCGATTGTGATCCACTGACGCTCAAAAAAATAACGCCGTTTTTTGCGTGTTTCGCGTTTTTTTGCGCTTAATTTTCAGTTTTTGGCCGTGAAAACGGCGAAACCCCCACTTTTTGAGCGCTAAAACGCTTGATTTTTAAGTTCCAGAAAACTTCAGAAGTAAAAGCACGTTTTAACGCTCAAAAAGTGGGATTTTCGCCGTTTTCACGGCCAAAAACTGAAAATTAAGCGCAAAAAAACGCGAAACACACAAAAAACGGCGTTATTTTTTTGAGCGTGAGTGGATCACAATCGCAGCTCCCGATTGTAGGGTTTAAACGCGTTTTTCCAAATTCTTGTCTGCTTGGGTACACACACAGACGCCAGTGGCTAAGCCTTGGTCAAACAGGCGTAGCAACACATAAGACTGATCCACATCCCAAGAAGGCGATGCTGAGCGTTTGGTGGGTGTCAATGGAATTATTCACTGGGAAGTTCTTCCAAATGGTTGCACCATCACTGCTGATCTCTACTGTCAACAATTGGACCGGGTTGCCGAAAAACTCAAGGAAAAGCAGGGTCGAATTTTCTATTTGCATGATAACGCAAGACGCCATGTTGCAAAGTCGATCTGCGAAAAATTATTGAAGCTCAGATGGATTACCATTCCTCATCCGCCTTATTCTCCTGACTTGGCTCCAACAGACTACCATTTGTTTCGTTCTCTTTCTCATCACTTGCGTGAGAAAAAGTTCGACGCCGAGAACGACGTGAAAATGGATATCGCCAACTTCTTTGGTCAAAAGTCCCAGGACTTCTACGAACACGGGATCCTATCTCTGCCAGAGCGTTGGCAACAAGTCATAGATAGTAGTGGTGCAAATATAACTGAAAGCTAGTTCTACTGTTGAAGTTAAAA